TTGGAAAACAATTTTCTCTACTATACTGAACAGTTAAACGATAAGAGGCTTATCTTGGGTGGTTCAGGTAGAGGCGTCAACAATGGTCATGCAGTGCTAATTACTTCTTCCCTGTAATCGCTATAAGGAGAGATAAAGTTATTATGTACCTTCCCCCTTCTACACAAAAACATGTTTTCATTGGCCAAAAGACAAGAAAATAGTGCTATAAATTTGAAGAAATTTTTCAAAATTTTTCATTTGGTGTTTGCATCGCAAGGTGTTGAAGTGCTACCTGTGTGTGAAGTAGTTAAGTGTCCAGAGTTTTGCTACGATATTATATTATAGTTTAGGTAAGTTTTACTATTATTTTAACATTGTTACAAAATCACAAAACCACCATATATTTAGACACAGTACAGACCACATATCTATGGATAAACTACATTACTAATTCTTTGTTAGTTAGTTGCATGTTGAAATTGAATATATTAGAAGTGAAAACAATTTTGATTTTTGGCAGGATACTTTTCCACCTAACACGTGCCATAATGGACAACAAGCAGGTGTTTCAATATCCCGCCGTCGGTTTCTACCAACAACCCAATTTCACTGCTGACTTCAAGACGCAAGTGCTCACGGCTATCAAGAAGAATCAAGAACTATTAGCAGCCAAAGTGAAACTCCAGAAAAATAAAAACACGTTTAGAACGGACATATTAAACATGAAAAATAATCTTATAAGGAGGAAATGTGAACTGTTGGAGAAACAGTTGTCGCAACAGAAAATTCTCCTTGCAAAAATGGAAAAACGTAAGTGTGGCTTGTTAAAATCCTTTTTCTGCGACTGAAGAAAAAATGCTGTATGCTAAGCGGATGGGAAGGTGCTTTACTTTTTTCTTGAATGAATTTCATTCTTTGAGAAAATAAGTACCATTCCTGCTCATGTTGAATATTCTGTTTAAAATAGTTCCAGCTGGACCTCAACGTGACTACCTGCTGAAGATAATAAAAAAAATGGAAGAAGTCATCCGTATTGGCAACAAAGATCTGGTACAGTCGATCGGAGAAGTAAAATCAAGACTTCAAAAGAAGGCTAACGAAGATCTGAGGCTACGTTTGAGAAGTAACACTAACTCCGTGAACAAAACGTCGTCTCCAAATCAGACAGTAGATCGCAGATCCACCAGATTGCTGGTTTCTGGATATGAAACTGAAGAACAAGAAAGTGTCTTACTTCATTTTCAGGTAATTTTATTTATTTTGGCGAAAACAAATTGTTGATTATGTACCTATTTTTTAGCTTGTTGGGGAAATCATCGACTATACTGTTGGCGCCACTTTGTCTAGTACGACTTTGACCTACAAAACGCGGAAAGAGGCAGAGATGGCCATGTTGCAAGGAAAACACTTTCATGTAAGTACTCAAATATTGTTTGTCTACGTTGTCTTTAGAAGTTGCTGCTAAAAATTAATTATTATTTATTACGAGAATGAGCAATACGACAAACATTATTTTATATCAGATGTAGATCTACTTATCTATGCTTTTAGGATCGGATATTATCAGTCACGTGGTGTACCGAACCAATTACCAATCAGCTGATATCCAGACCAACTTCTTCTACATCTTCAATGTCAGAATCTGAAGAAAACAGATTAACTGAAGAATCTTCATCTGAAGGAGAGGAAGACATAAGCGTAAGACATGAACTTCTTTTATTGATTTGTGTTAAACACCGCATTTTTTTAGTTTTGTTCCGAAACCACTGAAGACGATTTGCTTCAAGATGACGAAGAAGACGAAGACAAAGAAAAAGAAAGCGAGTATCAGTATTGGAAACGATAGTTTATGCGTTTTCTTTCGTTCATTGTATAAAGGCATTTATTATTTTATTTTGATTTCTTTTTTAAACTATTAATTTGTTTTCGGGTTAAATATATTAATTGAAAACAATTTTTGTCTAGTTTTCTATGTTCCAAAAATGACGCCTAAGGTCAGGTCAGTCTTGACCGTTGACTTTACAGCCGACCCTTCATAAAGCTTAGTAAATGTAAACCATGCCACGTGCCAGGGACGGCCGAGACGCGAAGGACCGGACTAAGAGTAATTTTGTTTCTTCCGTACTTTAATTATTTAATCATTATTTTGCACATTTGAAAATATTATTAAGATAATGAAAGCAAAAAACATAAAATCTTTAATAAGTACGATCGCAATCATAGAAAACTGGTCCACAAAGTTTTTTGATAAATCAAATAATTTTGACGATGTCACCGTCCTTTGTTTCAAGTCCAGAGGGTACATTCATATTGCTGTTATATTAAAAACAATACATGACTAGAGAGTGAAAAGTATGCAGCAAAATTTTGAGAAATATGATCATGTAATATGCATGAAATTTATGCAAATATGCTGTAACTTTATTAATATATGCAGAGATATGCAGTTGCATATTCTCCAAAAATTGAAAAGAAGTGTAATAACACAACTAAATTTATTTACAAATTATAAAAACAGGTTTATCAAGCTTAATTATTTTAATAAAAAATACATAGATACCTAAATAAAATTTTTAAAAATTATTGTCTTACACTAAATAGTGACAAATAAATAAAAATTAATGATGATAGGCCATTTAATTAGTACTTTTGTAGCAATTTATTTTTAAATACTTTTCGAAATATTGTAGCAAAAAATTTTGCCGATGATCCGAAAACATATATTTGTAAATAGAAATGCGGTTTGTAGCAGAAGCTACAAAAGACAGTGCCTTCTTGAAAAATAAATTCAGGAAAAGACCAGTACAGGGCACGGTTGATAAAACCGTTAATTGTTAATTTAGAAGAGTCGAGTGATGATGACAGTGATTATTTCGATCAATAAATAAGCAGAATTAATAAGTAAATAGTTGTGTATGTCAAAATTCTAACTAATTGGCCGTAATAAAAAATGATTGAGTACAAAGTTACTTTGTTTTTACTTAAAATAAAAAATCGAAAGGCGCAGTTGTCGGTAAATGCAAAACTCAGTCCTGCCCTGTGCTTTTACCAGAAAAGGTCTTTTCAGGTAGGTATCGGTGAGCGGGTTTAAGACATCCGGTTGTGACGGCCTATTGAATTATAATGGGAGTCAAATTGGTGTGGTCATAAACGCCTTATATGTTTGAGGGAACTCTACGATAATTTATATCAAGCATGTGGAGAAACAAAACGAAAAGATCTCACCAAATCGACGACCAGAGATCCTTAAAACTGATGTGCAAGACCGACGTCATCGCACCCACAAATACACCACTTTTCGAAAATTTCTCACGGATAAGACTAGAGAAAACAGCAAACATCCCAGAGCACGATGCGAACAACGTGACTGATGAGTGATGACACTGCTTTTCTTACACATACAGGGTGAGTATTATAATAACGGGACCCTGACCAAATTTCAATGCAACACAAAATACATAGTAACTCTTTTTATATTTTATTTGTCTAAAATGTAAAACGTAGTTACCCAGTAGTTAATTTTGACTTTCGCAATAGTTCTATTTGTTAATTTTGAGCTCCGATAAGTTTTTAGTCTTCGCGCTAAGATGAGGGTTAAATACACGAACGATGAAAAGTTTGATATGATCTTGATTTTTGGAGAATGCGGAAAAATGCCGTTGGAGCAGGCCCAATGCGAGTGTTTATTACTTTTTTTTGACAGATTTTATTTATTATCTTTCAATACTTTATTACACTGCATCGCTTATTAAGCATAAACCCAATGTTGTTAAATATGAAATTTTGACATTATCACAAAAAATTTTACAAAGTTATTGAAATTCGTGACTACTTAGTATTATCACTTAGACAAATACACCCCTAAGAAACGTTGTAACAATAATATAGTTGTTATTTATCTAAGCTTTCACACAAGGCATAGAATATTAACCTTCTTTATCGAGTGCATCCAACACTCCAAATAAGAAACGATGCAGTTTTGCTTACGGACTTTTTTTATAAAAATTGTAAATACATTTTTTAATTTACGGGAAGTTATAACGATTCGTGAAGAATTCACCTCATGTACTTGATTACTATCAAATAAATGTACTCCAATATTCATAATGCGGTAAGTATATTTTGTTCTTCTTTTCAAGAATTTTTTTTATATTTAACTGAATTATTTGGTGGATTGTCATTTGTTTGGTTCTTCCACTTTTGGTCCTTTCGGCAGCGGTTTGTGCTTTTTACAAGTATTTTATTTTCATAACCGGACGCGATGTTAATCATTCATTTCATTTTAAGTAGTAGAATAACAACTTAAGTATTAGGAGTACATAGAACGATTTAAACAATTATATATATGGTGTTTTCTATTTGGAAAAAAGCGAATATCTACATATTTACTATTATTACATAACTAGTAATTCAAGATTTGCTAAGTAAACAAATAAACAGAATAACTTAAATAACCGAAAATTGATTCTGTAGTGTGGATCCATAATTCTTGGAAAACAATTTTCTCTACTATACTGAACAGTTAAATGATAAGAGGCTTATCTTGGGTGGTTCAGGTAGAGGCGTCAACAATGGTCATGCAGTGCTAATTACTTCTTCCCTGTAACCACATTAAGGAGAGATAAAGTTATTATGTACCTTCCCCCTTCTACACAAAAACATGTTTTCATTGGCCAAAAACAAGAAAATAGTGCTATAAATTTGAAGAAATTTTTCAAAATTTTTCATTTGGTGTTTGCATCGCAAAGTGTTGAAGTGCTACCTGTGTGTGAAGTAGTTAAGTGTCCAGAGTTTTGCTACGATATTATATTATAGTTTAGGTAAGTTTTACTATTATTTTAACATTGTTACAAAATCATAAAACCACCATATATTTAGACACAGTACAGACTACATATCTATGGATAAACTACATTACTAAGTCTTTGTTAGTTAGTTGCATGTTGAAATTGAATATATTAGAAGTGAAAACAATTTTGATTTTTGGCAGGATACTTTTCCACCCAACACGTGCCATAATGGACAACAAGCAGGTGTTTCAATATCCCGCCGTCGGTTTCTACCAACAACCCAATTTCACTGCTGATTCCAAGACGCAAGTGCTCACGGCTATCAAGAAGAATCAAGAACTATTGGCAGCCAAAGTGAAACTCCAGAAAAATAAAAACACGTTTAGAACGGACATATTAAAGATGAAAAATAATGTTATAAGGAGGAAATGTGAACTGTTGGAGAAACAGTTTTCGCAACAGAAAATTCTCCTTGCAAAAATGGAAAAACGTAAGTGTGGCTTGTTAAAATCCTTTTTCTGCGACTATTCAGATTTATGTTTATTACACGAGCATACGTAAGAAACGTGTACGCATAGTTGAAGAAAAAATGCTGTGTACTAAGCGGATGGGAAGGTGCTTTACTTTCTTCTTGAATGAATTTCATTCTATGAGGAAATAAGTACCATTCCTGCTCATATTGAATATTCTGTTTAAAATGGTCTTAAAATAGTTCCAGCTGGACCTCAACGTGACTACCTGCTGAAGATAATAAAAAAAATGGAAAAAGTCATCCGTATTGGCAACAAAGATCTGGTACAGTCGATCGGAGAAGTAAAATCAAGACTTCAAAAGAAGGCAAACGAAGATCTGCGGCTACGTTTGAGAAGTAACACTAACTCCGTGAACAAAACGTCGTCTCCAAATCAGACAGTAGATCGCAGACCCACCAGATTGCTGGTTTCTGGATATGAAACTGAAGAACAAGAAAGTGTCTTACTTCATTTTCAGGTAATTTTATTTGTTTTGGTGAAAGCGAATTGTTGATTATGTACCTATTTTTTAGCTTGTTGGGGAAATCATCGACTATACTGTTGGCCCCACTTTGTCTAGTACGACTTTGACCTACAAAACGCGGAAAGAGGCAGAGATGGCAATGTTGCAAGGAAAACACTTTCATGTAAGTACTCAAATATTGTTTGTCTACGTTGTCTTTAGAAGTTGCTGCTAAAAATTAATTATTTATTACGAGAATGAGAAATACGACAAACATTATTTTATATCAGATGTAGATCTACTTATCTATGCTTTTAGGATCGGATATTATCAGTCACGTGGTGTACCGAACCAATTACCAATCAGCTGATATCCAGACCAACTTCTTCTAAATCTTCAATGTCAGAATCTGAAGAAAACAGATTAACTGAAGAATCTTCATCTGAAGGAGAGGAAGACATAAGCGTAAGACATGAACTTCTTTTATTGATTTGTGTTAAACACCGCATTTTTTTAGTTTTGTTCCGAAACCACTGAAGACGATTTGCTTCAAGATGACGAAGAAGACGAAGACAAAGAAAAAGAAAGCGAGTATCAGTATTGGAAACGATAGTTTATGCGTTTTCTTTCGTTCATTGTATAAAGGCATTTATTATTTTATTTTGATTTCTTTTTTAAACTATTAATTTGTTTTCGGGTTAAATATATTAATTGAAAACAATTTTTGTCTAGTTTTTTATGTTCCAAAAATGACGCCTAAGGTCAGGTCAGTCTTGACCGTTGAAAAGTACTATACTTTAACATGTCTAAAATTTTGTCTTTGAGAACTGCTACGAAATTGAAGTTTCTAAAATTATCATTGAAAATAGTGTAGCAGAGCAGAAATTTTTACTTCAACACGAAGTTTTACATTAAAAAAAAAACAGTTGGAAGCCCCGAGGAGGTTTCACATTAAAAAAAAGACATTAGGAACCCCCGAGAATGCTTTATATTAAAAAAAAAAAAAACAGCTGGGACCCCCGAGGAGGTTTTACATTCTTAAAAAACGACATTTGACGCCCCTTAGAAGGTTTTACATTTTTAAATAAAGAAGGGCGTATTCTCACCTTTTCGAGAAAGTGGGGTTATTTCATCAATAAAAATTTTATTATGACGTCATAAACATTGATAATGATAATACACAATGCGAGGAAAAAAAAAAAAAAGAAAAAACGAAAGGCCAAGTTTGGAATCGAACGCGCCACGTCCGGGATGCCTTACGATAACGGTAAACTGTTATTATACCGTGCATTATGTTTTTGCAAAAATTTGGCCGGTTAGGTAAAAACTCAAAACGGACTCGTACGCCACAGTTATAGTGCATCGGACAAATGGCCACTTTTATATGTTTTCGACGTTTTATGATCCCTAGAGTACGAAAAAAGTCGTCTCGAATCGAAAGGACAAAATTGTCTAAACATACGCACATAAGACAAAGAGTGCATAAAAAATAAATAAAATACCTCTAAAATATGTAACAAAAAACGTCACACATTTTTTTGATAAAACAAAAATAAGACAAAAAAAAATCATCAAATTTAAAATCAATGAAAAATTCTAACCTTTAGGCTTCTTCTGCTACAATTACGCGAATACCTCATCTTTATTTACGAACCCACTGCAACAAAAAACACATGAATTTTTTGTGTACATAAAGAAACACTACCGCAGAAGTTAACATCAACTTTATACATACTAATTTTTAAAAACGGTGTTATTCAACATCACACAAGTAGACAAGATTTAAAAAATTCTAAACAGAAAAAGTTATGAAACCACAAGATAAATTCTAAGCAAAATTTTACATTTACATTACACGATTTTTGATGAAGATGAACGGAAAAAATCTATATAACAGACTCAAAATACACCAAAAAAAAAGTTTCGGAGAATATTTGCATTAAAATTCGCTAACAAACAGACAGGTGAAAACGGAAAATCGATATTTTCACCCCATAAACTGGGGAATATTCAAAAAACAAGAAATGAAAGTTCAATAAAAATAACGCTGCTACACTACGTTTGGAAATGAAGAACATTAATTTAATTTAACCGAAACTTCAATAAATAATTCCCAATGAAGATCATTGTTTTCAATAAAAATGATCGTCTGAAACGTTTTGCTGATTTAGTGAACTTCTTTTAGTTGTAGTTAAGTACTATGTCCCAAATACAAAAATGAAAACGATTCTGAAATTTAAAATAACAATAACGGTAATTGCTCTGAATAATTTTATCAATTGCAGTGATGCGTAAAACGTAAAGACGATCCACAATGAAACAAACATAAAAATTGGATTTAACTTTTAAATAATTAACATTGATAAAAACCTATTAGGTATTCCAAATTATTTCAGGCGAAAAGGTAGTTTTAAAGAATATATATGTGACGGGATATTAAAACGTTTGAGTTCTTGTTAAAACAAACATATTTATTACCATTTGTAAAATACAACTACTTCCCCCTTATTCTCCGTATTTTTATATCAATTTAGAATACAAGAATCGAAGAAATAAAGCACTACAATACATTCAATAACAAAGCGATCAGTGTTGGGCAGTATCTAGATACTTGTATCTAAATAAAGTGTCTAGATACATTTTTGGGTATCTAGTATCTGTATCTAGATAAAATCGGATTTAAGAACAAAATATCTGTATCTATTTAGATACAAAATTAATGGCGCAGATACAGATACATTTTTTTATTTCACTTTTTTTTCAGTAGTAGTTATTAGTTGAGTTATACTATACTATCCTCAAAGATATTTGGCGTTTATGACTTCACACCAATTTGACTCCTATTATAATTCAATAGGCCGTCACAACCGGATGTCTTAAACCCGCTCACCGATACCTACCTGAAAAGACCTTTTCGACGTGCCAGGGACGGTCGAGACGCGAAGGACCGGACTCAGAGTAATTTTGTTTGTTAAAATTTTCAAATTTCAAAATTTCCTTACGGAACATGATTTATACTTTGAAGAAAATTACACAAAGACACAATTATTAGAAGTGTTACACACTCGAAAATTTGAGAAACAATATAAAATAGATGCTATGGCGCGAGATCGTGGATTTAGGGTGATTAGTAGACAGCGGATTTCTGTTGGGCTACGTCACGATTATAGGTGGGGACGCGCTGGATCGCCGGGACTCACTAGCGGGTGATAGATAATCACTGAATTTGAATATCACTTATTCCATAAGTACAATTAACGATTTATTAATCAAACGGCTAAGTAAATGAGAACTGGAATTAACAGCAGAGTGCAACGAAGCAGCGGTATTCTAATCTCAAATAAACGAAGTGCAGCCCGTAACTGCAATGAATTGCCATCCCGTACGAGCCGTACCGAGTTTGGCCTTGTCTAGCCCGACCGAAATCCGCTCTCTACATCACACTTCCGCCGTACCATTGTATATTTAACCCCATCGAACTAATCTGGTCGCAAATGAAAAATAATATAAGAAGGAATAATACGGCACCAAAATTTAGTAGTGCAACAATTGACATAATTAGGGAAGAAGCTTCCAAAATAACTGCCGAAATGTGGGCCAATTGTGTACGACATTCCACAAAAGAAGAAGACCAGTACAGGGCACGGTTGATAACACCGTTAATTATTAATTTAGAAGAGTCGAGTGATGATGACAGTGACTATTTCGATCAATAAATAAGCAGTAGTAGTTAATAAGTAAATAGTTGTGCTGTAATAAAAAATGATTGAGTACAAAGTTACTTTGTTTTTACTTAAAATAAAAAACTCGAAAGGCGCAGTTGTCGGTAAATGCAAAACTCAGTCCTGCCCTGTGCTTTTACCAGAAATAGTATATTATTAGCCAAGGTTGCAGAGCCAAGCATTCTAGACCGAGCGCAAATTAGAACCCGAGACGCGCAGCGTCGAGGGCTCTAAGTGCGAGGTCTAGAAGTGGCTTTGCAACCGTGGTTAATATACTATTTTTTTCACTAGTAGAAACCATAAGACAATAAACTGAAAAATAAACGTTCAATTTTTTGACGCAACATGGTTTTGTTTTGATTTCTAATCAAACTTGATCTAAATCTTCAACACAAAGAAAACCGTTTATACTTGTCGCTGAGTTAATCATTTTATCTTCTACAGTCTACCAACTACCATGCGTATACTCAAGTAATGTTTGTAGCACACATTTGTTCATTTTTTAAGAAATAATCACATCAAACATTGCGTACATAACCTCAATTTTTCTTTTTGAACCCGTGGTAGCAAAAGTTGAATTTGCTACCACTAAATGAGTCGACATTTGCATGCGTCCAGGCTGCTAGTGAAAAAAGGTCTTTTCAGGTAGGTATCGGTGAGCGGGTTTAAGACATCCGGTTGTGACGGCCTATTGAATTATAATGGGAGTCAAATTGGTGTGAAGTCATAAACGCCAAATATCTTTGAGGATAGTATACTAGAGCTTATTTGAAAGCAGAAGTACACAGCAATAAAAGAGCGCAGATACCAGTATTTGAAACAATATTCAGTGCGCATGAGCACTACTTTCACAGAATCAGAGGCGTCGAGAACGAACTTCCTTTACTCTTTGGACCTGTTTTGTACGTTCTTATACTAACGCGAGCAACGTACAAATCCCAATAACAACACTAATGGTCCGCCACTGACTCGTCCATACTCTTCGCCCATTTTCGCGCTTCGCGCATTCATCCCTCCCACTCGATGTACTTCTGATTTCAAATAAGCTCTAGTAGTAATTTTTGATACTTCATGTTGGTGATTTTGGTCACATAAACAAAAATAGAGGTAAGAGGTCCACTAATAGTGTTTGTCACGGATATTTTCATATTTTAAATACCATCATTTCCTACATTGTAGCCTTCAGTACTTATACATACATCTTTAAATATAATCCTGAAGGGTAATAAATCTAAGCCATGGTAAGATGGTATTTTAAAAACCATAAACCACAATTCACTATGCACTGCGTTTTAGTCTTGTCGGGGCAATGCATTTTATCGGTGTACCTGAGCAACCCGGGTCCGGTAGGCCCGCTGGTTGTATAGTGAACCAAGACCTATAAGGTTATATGGCCATCATAAAAGTAGTTGACCGCAAATAAATACCCCCTTTGTGTGGTTCGCACTAAGCTTACCGGTTGGCAATAAATCATCTTCTAAACATTTCTTGCTCATATTTAACAGGGCCGGCTTTCAAAGCGAGTGGTTATTTCGGAACCCTCAGCGGCTGCAGGTAGTAAAGAAATAGTGGAGTGGTGGATTTTCATATTTAGTGAAAGCCGCCCCTGAACGAAACCACAAGAGCCGGTCGAGCTGCAGTGGACACGTTATTTACGACCCTAAAACCTTTTCTATTGTAAACAACTTAACTTCGATACAATGGGATGATTTTATGATGGCCATATAACCTTATAACTTATAACTCTTGGTTCACTATATTTGTGTTATTAAATAAGAGTAATTTTAATAGTAAAAATATTTGTTTAAGGTATGTTATTATTTTTAGAAAATAATAATTGCGTGCTACATAATGATTAATTTTTTCAATTAGCACAAATTAGTTTTGTAATCGACTAATCGAATGTTCAATACATACATTTCTCTCGCATAAATCGCATATTTGTTACTGTTTTATACCTTTATTTTTCAGACAAATGTAGCATCTTTTCCTGTTGCCACATGTGTCATTTCTTCACTTTTTCATTGTTGGACCTAACGCGAGGCGGGCTTGGCAGGTCCGTTTTGCCCTAGAATGTGCCGATTATGTTTAAGTGTAAATCTTGGGCAATAAAATTAATACTTTTACAACCCTCGGTAGAATAATTTATCGTGATATATTCTCAGAAATCGTGAAACGAGATTAAAATAAAATGAGTTTCAACAAAAATCTGAAAATTTAAAGTTGCACTCTGGTGATTCCGGCCTGGCAGGCAGCCTTTGTTCCTATAAGGGGTTTAAATACCTTTCTAAGAAATTGTACGTATTTTGCCTTAAACGGAACCAGCAATTCTTCCTAAAATGTATATACCTGCCGCACCGGACATGGTCATAAAAACTTCGTAAGCCGATATTGAGGAGTAATAATAATTTATGACAGGTTGCCGACAACAGACCTTCAGCACAGAATAATCATTTCCCATATTCTTTTGAAATATTAATTTTAATGCTAGAGATAATTATTAGATATACTCAAACACAATTTGGACACTGTAGTATGAGAATAAAAACAAAAACAAAAAAATTCTTTTTAAGCGTACGTAATAAATATTGCGATACATCAAAAAGCGACGCGATGGTCTATTTGCAGGAAAAAAGAAAAGATTTTTCAGTCTTGAATAACTATGCTACAGTAAAATGTTTATTTTTTAAATTTAAAACCACAATCCCTTCTTCTGCACCTGTGGAACGGGTGTTTAGTAGCGGAAACCAAATTATGACACCAAGAAGTAATAATTTAGGTGACAATACGTTCGAAATGTTGTTAATTTTAAAAAATTCATTAAACAATACATAAAAAAATACATAAACATGTTTTCAGTTATTTTATTCGCCAAAGCTTTAAAAAGTATCTGTTTTCTTGTATCTGTTATCTAGATACATGTCGAAAAAATCGAAAACAATCTGTATCTAGATACTTTTATCTTCCATATATTTATATATGTAACGAGATATTTTTAAAAATATCTGTCCCCAACACTGAAAGCGATACATAAAGCCTAATAGCAACACTTACCCTTTAAATCCTGATTTCCTTTTCTTCCGGGCGGATCCTTCCGGACTCCTTCCTCATGCATCACAACATTCACCTTTCACTTTAAGCCCAAAACGAATCTATTTTTAAGAATAATAAATCACTTAAACAACGTCAATCATCTACATGATATTCCTAATAGAGATACAATGTTTGACAACAATCGATAGGGTAGTTATATACAAACGCCAGATAAACAGACAGACCGACAGATGGCAACGGGAGACATTTTTCGTACTCTGGGGTCCCTAAAACGTCGAGAAAACATAAAAGTTGTCATTCGTCCGATAGATTCGATTACCATATGTACTTCCTTAGCTTATTAATAAAAATACAGGTTACAATCTCCTAGAAAACATCAATTTAATTTTAAGTGGCGAATGACTAAATATTAATGTAGAATGAGGTCCGGACAAAATTATTAGTGTGTTAAAGTACACATGAGTTACATATTGATGTAGAAAGAAGTTTTTTCTTCATACAAAATGTTACTGATAGACAGAAGACATAATTTTGCAATGAAAAATTTGGAAAAACATCTGGTTGTTAACTGTAACTGTGTTTTTTGTTTGTAGTTTGTTTTTTCTTCCTTATTGCATATTTAGAAAAATTTCGAAAAAATTTTGTGCATTAAATACGCATATTTTGACAAATATTTGTGCATATAAATCCGCTCTTTAATCGTAACGGTCCCTCCAGTCGTCTAACAGGTTGCTTATCAAAACCGACGTTAAATAAACGATAACCCGACGATGAAATCAGACACCTAGATTCGTTGACCTCTGGAAAAAAACAAAGAAAATAAGATGCATCAATATTTATCTACAGCAACTTTGTGTCACTACAAAGGTAAAAAAAGTATGAATAAGTAATTTTCATTTCTTCATGTTTTACCAAAATTATGCTAATTTTAGAAATCTGTGAGGAAAAACCGTTTGAACCTTGTTAAATTTGGTTGCTAAAATTTTAATCAATGATATTCCTTACTTTTGCAATTTATTGTACCCATCCGCATTTTCTTATCGTCTTGGTGTTATCGAACAGTGGTCGAGGTTGTCCGGTAGAGGGGAGCACGTGACGATACTTGTCTGAACCAAAGTGGACACCAACAACTTCACCATGCTTAAACTAGACATCTGAAAACCAATTTATAACATTATGATAATTGCGTAACCACACTCTATCCAAAAAAAAATCTTACTTACCTATAATCCGGCGTTAAACGCCCCTGAAAATGACTCATACCAACACTCTTATCTCATTCATTCATTATTTCGATGGTGCGAACTTATTTGTGCGAAATTTTTTTTTTTTATATATATTTTTTTGATACTCCCAAAACTTCTTATGTAAATATAATAAAATATACAAATACATCAACATTTTTTTCTCGTTCAATGTTTTCTAAAATTGTTTCTATTCTTTATTATTAATATATATTTTCTTTATTTATTTTTTGGGGAGCATCTTTTTTTTTCTTATCCATAACATCTTATTATATAAACAAACAGAACCACTAAAAATTTGTTTTCAAATAACACATTTAACCCGAAAACAAATTCATAGTTTACATAAGAAAGCAAAATAAAATTAAGAAATGCCTCTATACAAATATATACCATAAAAATTTTACAAGCAAGTAAACCTCACAAAAAAAAGAAAAACAAAACACATTTTTCCACATGACAGATGTCAAAACGAATATGGCCACCAGATCAACTGTCAAATGAATGAAAGAAAATCAAAAACCGACGAAACTATCGCCTCCAAGACCGGTCTTCGCTTTCTTCTTCTTCTTCCTCGTCGTCTTGAAGCAAAGCTTCTTCGGATATTTCGGGGCCCAACTGAAAACAAAAACGCAGCGCTTAAAACAAATCAATGGAAAAAATCCTGTCTTACGTCTTCCTCTCCTTCAGGCAAAGTCTGATCAATTAATCTGTCTTCTTCAGATTCGGACATCAGTGACTTGCGAGGAGTTGGTCTCGATGTCATTTGATTGCTAATCGGACCGGTGCACCACGTGATTGACAATGTCCGATCCTGAAAGCGTAAGTCATATTGGCCAACAATTTTTGACGACAATGTAGACAAAGGGAATAGTACTTACATGAAAATGTTTTCCTTTCAGCATGGCCATCTCAGCCTCTTTCCGTGTTTTGTAAGTCAAAGTTATACTGGGTAAAGTGGAGTCAACAGTATAATCGCCGATTTCGCCAAACAGCTAAAAAAAAAAAATAGGTAACCACCAATCCGCTTTCACAAAAACAAACCACTACCTGAAAATGATTTAAGACACTTTCTTGTTCATCAGCTTCATATCCAGAAACTAATAATCGAGTGGGTCTGTGATCTACAGTGTGTTTTTGGAACGAGGTTTTATTTACGGATTTAATGTTCCCTTTCAAACCTGAAAAAACGCATGACTGTATGCTTGAATGTTTTAATTATATCGGCACCCACCTCCGTTGTCAATTAGATTGTTTTTGGTAAGCAAATGCCTACTGACTTGTGTATAACGTCGTCCGCGACCACGGCCTCGGGTCATAGCGGCTCGTGCTTTTAATTCAAATAGTTTCTTTTGTATTTCAGACGTATCAGCGCCTTCTTGCTGTTTGGTAATTAAATCCAACTCGGCATCTAACATTTCTCTTTGAACATCTTCTTTTGCTTTCTTTTGAGGTGTCGATTTTACTGTTAGGACCGACTGTACCAGATCTTTTTTGATGCTCTCGATGGATTCTTGTGTTTTTTTGATAGTTTCCATTATCTGGTCACGCTGGGGTCCAGCTGAAACTATTTGAAGTTGATATAAAATAGTACTTTATGCATGAGCAAAAATTGTACTCATGTACTTCATTTTTTAAAGAATGAAATTAATTTACACTTTTTTGGTTAGAATTTATTCTGAAAAATTTTGAGCTGATAAACAGATACATTTTGATTAGTGATTTACCATGTTTACTGATACCTTAAAACTTTCTAAAAATGAACTGGATAGGTATAATTTTGACACAAATGACTTTTTTTTTTGTTATTAAGTTTTGTCTATGACTTTAATAAACATAAATCGCAATAGCCGCAGAAAAAGAATTTTAGCAAGTTCCACTTACGTTTTTCCATCTTTTCAATCAGGATTTTCTGTTGCGACAGCTGTTTCTCTAACAGTTCTTGCTTCCTCTTTCTAAGATTATTTTTAATCTTCAACACTTCCTTTCTCTGTTCGTCTTGATTTTTCTTAAGTTTTTCTTTGGCTGCCAACAGCTCTTGATTCTTCTTAATAGCGGCGGCTGCCTGAGCCTTGGTATCTTCCTTACTAACAACCGCTTTTCCGCTTTCTTTTTGATTTTCAGCGGACTCGGTTGCATTATCTGCACGCGGTTGCACTAAATTTAGAACTTTGTTAGTATTAGGTGGTACTATGGATGGCACCCCAAGGCGATCTTTAACGGAACGAGGAGGAACATTCTCCTGTTTACCTTTTCATTAAAAACAACACACCACATTAACCCTAAATGTCAAACAAGAAAAACGTTCTTACTAACCTTCAGTGCTGCCGTTATGCCAAAACACCTTGATGAATCGATTGTTGAGTACCGCTTCCGTGCTTCGGTAGGCGGCGTTGGCTTCGGCATGACTAGAAAACGTGACTATTGCCGCTTCCGGATCCCCTTCGTAGTTCACTTGGATGTTGATGGGTTTGCCGAATTTTGAAAAATGGTTATTCAAGTGTGTAATGCTGTTTAGGCCCTGTGGGATTTTCTTCAGTTCTAAAGAACAATTTGCTGGATTTTTTGATCGGGGACCAAGGCGATTGAAGTCAAAACTTTTCTTTTTGAAAGGTGTTGCTTCGTGATCATTGTTGTTGGTACCAGTGAAGTTCGGTTGTTGGCGGAAACCGACTGCTGGGTATTGATCGGCTTGTTTGTTGTCCATGACGGGGACGGGAATCAGCTCACGTTGCATGTTGGGCTGGGTGGGGAACGTGCCCATCATGGGACCCTGGAAAATAAAACAAAAATGAACCACCCACACTGTTCGAAATTCAAAATTGTTTAATTTATGGCGTATTTAATTTCCATATGTAACGAACAAAGACTTCGTAATTTAGTTTGTCGATAAATCTACACTTTTTGAAAAAGAAGTCACATATCAAAAACGAAAACAGTGGCCGAGGGATACATTGATAATTTAATCAAAAATAAAATAAATACTACAAATAAACTTAAGCAGTCGATTCAGTGCGCCTCTACATCATCAGCAGCGCAAGAATTCTTTGGCGATATGGTTCAAGAAGAAACGGCCCATATGATGTCAAAGCAAGAACATACAAGTACCTACACGTCGTCCACAGTGAAGGAAAACCTTCAAACAATAAATTTAACAAACTGTTTCAATTTTACTTTGAATTTTGTCACTAAAAATGACGCAATTAGGTCTGTAAGTTAGATCTCTGAATGCGATGATTAATTATTGCATGTGGCAATGAGTGACCAAGCAAGTCAGATTTCATGTAATAATATAAAATATTGTGGATAATAACATTGAATGTTGTTTCGTTGTTGTTTACAGAGAAACAATTCAAGTTTTATTCCCTTGTAAAGATAAAAAGGAAAAACGGAAATAACCTCACTTTACAAAATAACATTCTCATTGGAACTCACAATAGAAAAGCTGCTTTTCACTTTGGAAGTACTTAGTACCCCAGATAATAAAACTAATGTGCTGTGCATAATCTCAATTGGCACACTGGATAGCCAGACATTCATCGTTCCACATAACTATTTGGACGCACGCACTCATGAGGCGCTTTCAGACTGCACCATTTACTAAGGTAAAAAAGTCATTGACTCAAAGAGGCCAACTAAGGAATATTTGGATTCCTCTCACCAAGGATTTAAGAGCAGCATATTTGGAGGAAGGTAACAATTTACAAGTTAATGATCAATATTTAGAAGAAAAAATTGGAAAACAAAATAATACTAATGGTAAGGAAAATACTTCAGAACAACCACTGATTCAGTTACTAGAACTATTACTTAAAAAAACTAATGAACAATCAATAGAAATAAATATAGGCAGAATAGCAAAAGAATTTACCATTGAAAAATTTAATGGAAAATATTCAAACGCGATTAGTACTTGCTAAGAAACGAATGATTTGGGCAAATGACATACTTTCCAAGAAAATCGAGGGTGGGTGGGCGGGGCTAGTACTTGCTAAGATAAGCTTGATTTTGGCAAATAACATACTTTCCAAGAAAACAGAGGGTGGGTGGGCGAGGCTAGTACCTTCTAAAATAAGACTGATTTTGGTAAATCACGAGTTTTTTGGGTTTTCAATTTTCCGAGTTTTTAATTTTTAAATTTTTCGTTTCTTCAATTTTACAATTTAGAAACTACACTTTTATAATAATTTTCATTTTTTCGATTTTTAATTTTGTCACATTTGCATTATTAGATTTTTTAATTTAATTGCCTGATATAGAGCGAAGGTAAAATCGAGTTAGCAATTAAAAATGTTTGACGCATCAAAAATTGACAAAGTTTTCAAAACCCTACGTTTAAAATGTTTGCAATTAATTTTAAGTCCCCTGGTGTTTTACTTTCGGATAAATTTAAAGGAATCTGGTGTTTTGTTGCTGGATGATCTTGAAAAAAATCTTTTGAGCTTTTGGTGTTATATTTTTTCCGATTTTGAAAAAGTCTTGAGTGCCGTAATGTTTTTTTCTTAATTCGGGAGACTTTTGGATACCCATGGTGTATTATTTTGAGAACCCATGGAGATTTTTTGTTATTTGATTATTTAAAACAATTTTTTGGGACTCTGTTTTTTTTTTAATTTAAAACAATCTTGAAGTTCTAGGTATTCCTGTTTGGAAAGAATTTGAAAGTGCTTTGGAGCCTCTAGTGTCTTTTCTTATAATAATTTAATTAAATTTCTTAGAGGATATGTCATTTGCTAAAATAAGTCTTATCTTAGACAAAACCGGTCTTATTTTAGCAGGTAGTAACCCCGCCCACCCATCCTCTCTTTTCTTAGGGGGTATGTCATTTGCCAAAATCAGTTTTATCTTAGCAGATACTAGCCCCGCCCACCCACCCCCTCTTTTCTTAGAAGGTATGTCATTTGCCAAAATTAGTTTTATCTTAGCAGGTACTAGCCCCGCCCACCCACCCTCACTTTTCTTAGAAGGTATGTGATTTGCCAAAATCGATCTTATTTTATCAAGTACTAGCTAGTACCTGTTAAGATAAGAATGATTTTGGCAGATGAGATACCCTCTAAGAAAAGAGTGGGCGGGGCTAGTATCTGCTAAGATAAGAGTAATTTTGGCAGATGAGGTACCCTCTAAGAAAAGAGAGGGTAGGTGGGCGGGGCTAGTACCTGCTAAGATAAGAGTAATTTTGGGAGACGAGATACCCTGTAAGAAAAGAGAGGGTGGGTGGGGGGGGGGGCTAGAATCTGCTAAGATACGAATAATTTTAGCAGATGAGATACCCTCTAATAAAAGAGTGGGCGGGACTAGTATCTGCTAAGATAAGAGTAATTTTGGCAGATGAGATACCCTCTAAGAAAAGAGAGGGTGGGTGGGCGGGGCTAGTACCTGCTAAGATAAGAGTAATTTTGGCAGATGAGATACCCTCTAGCTAGTACTTGTTAAGATTTTGCGTAGGGCGGGTGGGTGAGTCTACATTTTGCAATTTTTTTTGTTAATATAACTAGACTTATTTCGACAACAAGAAACTTAAAGGATGTTTAAAATGGAAAGTTTGGGCTCCACCCCATAATTGCAAAATGCATTTTTCCTTGCAAGAATGTACCATTTGAACTGTTTCTTGTTGTGAAAAGATGGCTATGTATATTAGGAAAAAAGAAGGCAACATATAAGCGCCGCCCACCCGCCCTATCAATTCTGATGATTTTATTCGTCGTGAGCCGAGGGGCGGAGCTTAATTGTAAAATTAATTTATTACGAATCAATGGATAATTAGTTTTGAAAAAAAATGTGAAAGATTCAATATAATAGAAAATGAGAAAAAAAAATCGAGATTTTAAAATCATTCATGGACAAAGGTGCTACCCATGAATTATATGATACTCGTGCGGCTCAAAATGAGACCAGTTCGCGCCTGACGTCACTCAGAGAGTAGTACTATTGGAATTTCAACATAAAAGCACGAAGAATCAATAATATTTTTAATTTTTACTGTTATAATTCTTTATGTATTTAAAAAAGTGTGTTGTATGGACAACCTCTATATTATAATATAAAAATTATACTTATAACGCTGCATAAAATGACCGAAAAAATAAATTTACGTATCTGTCTGAATTAAATTGTAAAAACGAATTTAAGGGAGATTGATACGCATTTTTATCGTGTGCGACAAATTAAAATTTCGCGTTTAATATTATTTTTTGTGTACTCAATAGAAAAATGCGCCTTTAATTTGGAGATAATTATAAAAGTGCTATTTTTCTCCTTGGTAACACTTTTCCAACCATTCAGCATAACTGATGTCTCGTCCGCTTTATTTGAATTTTTTGTTCTTCTCAATCATTCATCAAAGTATTTGTAACACATTTCATACTTTTCCTACTATTTTATGGGCACTACATTCGCAATGGCTTCTGCAGATTATCTGAAAATGCCAAGATCTTCAGAATTATCCATTTTTTGCTTTTTTACGTTTTTATTTGATTATCATGAACATACTTGTTGTTATGGTAATTGTTTACATTTAACGCAATAGATATTTATTTTATTAGGAGTTTCAGTGATACTTTTGTGTCGAGTATGGACGATTAAACGCCGAGCGATAGCGAGGCGAATTAAGTCCATACGAGTCACATGAAGTCACTTAAACTCCGAATGAAATCAATATTTTATTTTCAAACGATTAATCTTCTTTTGAAATGATTATTTCCTATCTTCTTGCTTCATTAAGGAATTGCCTTGATTTCACTTACCATGGTTACTATGGTTGACAACCACTATGATTTTCACATATTTATACTCCGGCGGAGTATAAATGTTTTATTTATACGCCGGCGGAGTATAAGTAGTACTTATACGCCGCTCAAACACGGTGTCATAGAAATGAAACTTAAACCCCGGCAAGAGCGTCATATAACTGTCAGTTATATGACGTTTGAAAATAAACATAATTATCGTAAATTGAAATCTACTTTAGAAATTCTGTTTTAAACTTTGAAAAACTGAGTACACGAAAAAATAACATGTTCAACACATAAGAAAAATGTGTTTTTTCTTTTTCGCTCCCTTCGGTAATTAAACCTTCCATTAAAACGACCACTTTTTACTACTTGTAAAACAATCTATTATTATTAGAACAAAAAATGGTTTCGACACAATTGACAAAAACAACATTTTACCACATAATCTGAACTTAAAAATAAGAATTTTTAATAACTACTAAAAATAAATACAATGTACCTACTATTGAACCGTGTGTGTGCATCATTTTTAAAAGTGGCCATAGGGATCCCCATCTTAAATTTTATAACCCCATATTGTTATTAAGTTTGATTGTTTTGCTTTTAGGAAGACATAACGAAGGCACAGTTGCAGACTTTAGTTTTTTTTAACCTTTTTTAGGGAGATAATTCAAAAGTTCGTGTTGTAAATTTCGTTCAAAATCGTTTTCACTAAAATGCTGCGAACACACTCTTGCATTTTTTACTGTAAAAGAGTCCGAACGACAACAAGAAATAACCCATAATAATTGTCTTGTAACATTGTCCCTTGGAAATGAATAAAATTTTATGTCGTTCCGAAAATGTTTTGATTGATTATCGCTATTACACCCAAAAACGGCACAAGGCATTGTTGTAACTTTATAAAACCATTATAGAATAACGTGCATTCCCTAACTTTCTAAAAGGCACGTGGAATACAGAAAAACGTCGCAAAATACGCGAGAAATGCCTGTGTTTACTCTCTGAGTGACGTCACTCTCCCCGTACCTGCGCAATATCATACCTGGACCTGGTATTTATTGTATCATGGGTGCTACCGATTGGTACAGCAATACACTTTTGAAACTTACTATTAATGCAGAATGGGCAGATTAGAAAAAAAACTTTTATGATACATTTTCTAGTAAAGGTTGGTCTTCACTAAGATATGCAATATCATTTAAATATCAAACCGGCTCCATGCTTGATTACGCGCTAAAAACAGAAAAACTTTTATTAGAAATAAGAAAGTCCATTGATGATGGAACACTGATAGATTTAATCGCTTTTGGCTTGCCAAATTTCGTAGCTGACAGAATTGACAGAGAGAAACCAAAGAAAATTGAAGACCTATATAATGAAATAGGTAAATTGGAACATTTAGCTTCTAAGGAAAATTTAGAAACAAAAAAATATAGAGTCAATAATAAAGACAAAAGCGAAAAAATACCTTGTGAAATCTGTAAAAATAAAAACAAAGGTATTAGATTTCATCCTGAAACCGAATGCTGGTTCAAAGATAGAAAAAACGATGAAGGAAAAACAAAACGCGTAAACAATTCTATATTAGAAGTAGAAGTGAGTTATAATGATCCAAAAAACTAATAGTTCCACCATTAATTAGACTCAAGGTAAAACTAAACGACATCTTAGAAGTATCTGCTATTGATGATGCAGGCTCAAATGTCTCATTGATAAATTCAAAACTAATACGTTTGAAACCAAAAAACCAATACGATGTAAAAGATTAACTTGAGGACAATTAATGGTGTACATAAATCAGATGGAGTGATAATATTAAAAGTAAAATATTAAATATAGAAGAAAAGATAGATGTATTTATAATAAATAATGAAAATTTTAAACATGACTTTATAGTTGGAACTGAAAAACTAATGATTTCAAAGAAAAACAAGAAAGATATCAAATAAATTTTAATGAACATGTATATCAAGAAAACTTTGACATCTTGACAAATCATTTGAACCATCATGAAGAAAAAATGATAAAAAATCTTACGGAGAAATATAAAAATATATTGGCAAAAGACAAATACGATATAGGGATAGTAAAGAATTACGCAGCCAAAATAGATCTCATAGTAGATAGATATTGCAGTAAGAGACCATATAGATGCACACTTGAAGACAAAAAGGAAATAGAGGAACAAATTTCTAAACTACTCAAAAGAGATTTAATCGAAGAATCATACAGTCCTTTTGTAGCCCCAGTAACACTAGCTTATAAAAACGATGAAAACAAAAAATCAAGATTATGTATATTTCAGAGACCTGAATGAGATAATAGTTCCCCAATCACAACCTTTTCCATTAATTGTAGATCTAGTAATAAAAACAAGAAATTGCAGATACTTTTCGAAGCTTGACATAAACTCAGCGTTTTGGTCCATTCCTTTAAGGGTAGAAGACAGACGAAAAACTGGATTTGTAACCCAAGAAGGTCACTTTCAATGGACCTGTCTACCATTTGGACTAAAACCGTCACCAGCTATATTTCAAAGAATATTAAGTAACATAATAAGAAAACATAAATTATCAGATTTTGCAGTCAACTATATAGACGACATACTGATTTTTTCAAAAACCTTTGAAGAATACATTAATCATTTGTCGCAATAACTAGAAGCAATAATGAATGAAGGTTTCCGATTAAAACTTTCTACATGTACATTTGCCTTGGATTCCGCACAATATTTAGAACATGTAATAGCATACAATTCAATTTCTCCATTAAAGGATAATTTGATTTCAATACGAAATTTTCCGGTTAAAAGAAATCAGAAAAATGTTCGACAATTCTTGGGGAAGATAAATTTTTATAATGAATATGTACCGAAAATTTCTATTATTCTGGAACCACTACATAATTTATTAAGAAAAAGTCAAAAATTCACCTGGTCTACAGAATGTCAAAAAGCCTTTGAATATATGAAGAATTTCCTCTGCCAGCAGCCGGTCTTAGATATTTGTGATCCGGAACTACCAATACACATTTACATAGACGCAAGCTTACAAGGTACAGCAGCTGTGATGAAACAACCACAACTAAATAATAATTCGGAAATAGAAAAACCAGTAGCATACTTCTCCAAGAAACTTAATGAATCTCAGAAAAGAAAGAAATCTGTTAACCTAGAATGCCTAGCAGTAAAAGAAGCAGTACAGTATTGGCAACACTTGCTCATAGGAAAACACTTCAAAGTATATTCGGATCATAAGCCGCTAGAAAAAATGAATATTAAAGCTAGAACGGACGAAGAATTAGGGGATCTCACTTTCTACTTATCACAATATGACATGGAAATAATATACCTCCCAGGCAGAGATAACTTGGAAGAGAAACCCAGTATTGGAGTCTTAAGAAGACGAAGAAGATAAATTAAAAATTGTCAATCTAATAAAAATAGAGGATATCAGACAAGACCAAGAGGGTAACGAAAATTTAACAAATAATAAAAATAATCTAATATTTGAAGATAATCTATATTATAGAAAAGAAGAAAATTGTATTATCAGAAGAGTTTTGTAAAAAAACTTATACATAAGGAATTTTGCCACACAGGCATAAAACAAATGCAAAGCAAAATACTACCTTAATGTAAGGATAAGTATCCTCACTGTTATTGAATCTAACGTGCAATTAGGTCGGTAGGTTAGATCTCTGAATGCGATAATTAATTATTGCATGTGGCAATGAGTGACGAAGCAAGTCAGATTTCATGTAATAATGTAAAATATTGTGAATAATAACATTGAATGTCGTTTCTTTGTTGTTTACAGGTAGGATTAGTAATTAGATTAAGTACTTTAATAAAAAACTTTTGTTGTTTACAGAGAAATAATTCAAGTTTTATTCCCTTTTAAAGATAAGAAGGAAAAACGGAAATAACCTCACTTTCCATGTATATACTTTTTATTATTTCTTATGCGAGTTTATGAACATTTTTTGCCCGAAGTTCATAGTTTTATGGCAATCTTAAAAGTTAGGTTTGACACTTCTATTTGTCCCTGTTTTAGTTGTTATTTTTCAGCTTTTTTAATTTCTAGGATGTGCGGTTTTAAAATTTCAAAATCGGTTTAAGTTTAAGCTTTGTATGGAATGGTGGCAATTCTCATTTATTAAGCACAAAAAAAGTAATTTTAGGAAGTAAGAAATCAAAAGTGTAAAACCACATATTTATAGGGTTTTTTTTTAGTAGATTCCATTTCTTTTGATGAAACTTAGTTATTGTGAAAGCACGGGCCAAGTGTACCTATAGCAGAAATTACTTTAGCTTTTCTTAAGAATTACCAACATAATCAAAAAACATCTGGAGGCTTATATATCAGCCTAGAATAAATTATTCCCGCATTGTACTCATAGTATGTTAACGTATAATTTGATAGTGACAGTGGAGTTTGCTAGTAGATCTGTTGACAGGTGTTTATTTCCAAAAATATAAACTTATGAGTACTATTTTCAATAACTTTTAAGTTACGTTGAGTTTTGTATGACGGATCCGGTGTCCATTTCAATGCAAACAAGTATGTAAATGTCAACGTAAATATTAATAACTAAACAGGTTTTGTATATTTAATCAGATCTCGGTATGTATTTAAATCGATGTACTTGAGAAACATGACATTAAAACATGACTTTTTGGTTTTTTATGATCTCCAGAACGTTTTTATTTTGTTTAATACATTAAACTTGCTTGGAGAATAAATGTGACACTCTAAAATCTCGTGACATTTTACCAAAATGTTCAAGAAATTAGTTTTGGTATGCTCTAAAACATTTAATGGTTGAATATGTTGGAAGTCTTGGTTCTTGGTTGTATCGATCAATAGATAAAATAGTTAATAGACTTACCCTCGGAATCCCCATGGGTCTCGGACCTCTGAACCCGGGTCTATTCCACATCTGCGGCGCCTGTGGATTGTACTCGGGCGGTATCCCCCTCGGTCCCATCATTGGATGTCCGGCAGGATTCAACAACGGCGCCCCAATCGGAGGTCCGTCCGTTGGTGCGCTGTTAGGATTATAAGTCAACACACTACTCAAAGCAGAATCTTCTAGCACCACTGGATCCACCCCATGATCGAAGGGACACATTTCGCCCCTCATGCAGTATCCTTTCTCGTCAAAATCCCTGCATCTCCTCTTCGAGTTCTGCTGAATCACGACACTCTGTATACTTTGCGTACTGTTGGTCAGACGCAGATCCATGTCCCCATGATTGGAGTCCTGGGTTGGCGTTCCCGGTCTTGAGTGCCCATCTTTTACTTCCTAAGAGTAATAAATAATCATGACTTTACTGAATATTTATACAACAATCAATTATTATTGAGGAGGTAAAGTTACGGAATTGAAGTGAAAATTATTGTAATTTGTTTGTTTTATCGTTTAACAATAAGAAAATGTTGACAAATAAAATTGACTAATAAAAAAGACAAATTGATAAGCGTGATTATTTATCTAGAAGGGGCTAAAGTCAGCTTGCTTTCATATAACGAAAATTTTAAAGACCCAGTTTGAAGGCGTTAGGTTCGTAACAAACGTCAAAATTCGTTCAGTAATTTTAATGTGTGCTGTTGGCAACGTTACTTGTTATCAGCTAATAACGACGTACCTTGTCTTTGAAGCTGTCTTTCCGTGTCTTCTCCGCGGACCGCGATCTGCTTCGACTGGTGCTTCGTGGTGGTGTTCTATTTCTGTATCTGTTACCTCGGTGAGGGTGTTTGGGGCTTCGTGATCGCGAGCGCCCTCTAGACGGCGACGGTGTGCGAGAACGTCTTCGGTCGAAGCGGCGAGGAGGCGACTTGTTGCGCCACGTCCGTGGACGGTCGCGTTTTTCTCTCTCTAATCTATGCTGTTCCCGCTCCCGGGATTTGGAGCGTTTTGATCGGTCCCACGATCGGGACCGGGAGCGGTTTCTGGAAGAGGATCGGTGGCGGGAACGGACGCGCGCTTTTTCTTCTTTGTCCTGAAAATCGGTTCGATGTAGTAATTTGGCTTTCAGCATGGTTAGGTGTGCTTTGGGGATCTAACTTAGAACCTCTGCTGTTATTACTTTTTATTGATGACTTAACGGAGGTAAAAATTACGGACATTATTACCAAATCTCGTACAACCTGTGGTATCATTTACAGATTTTATAATAACGTATTATACATATTGTATTATTGTTATTTCTGAATAGTGATTTATAAATACCAAAATACAAAGACAATTTAATCACGAATGCTGTATGTAATAACAGAGGTGCGACTGAAGACCGAACTGAAAATAATTTATGGTACTCGTAATTTAAGACAAATACCGATAACACTTATCAACCTATAGGCGTGAAAGTGATATAGAAACTAAACTAAAAGATGTTTTCTACGAATTGCAATAACCGGATCACAATGCCGATGGTCCAGACTTTTTTATTGCTCTGACTTCCGCTTATTGAATAAAACACTACATTTTATTTTGATTTTCGATGTTGTAATTCACATTTGGTTAATTACAACTTGTCTAGATCTAGGGGAGGATCAGAGGATGCTGCTCCCTAGCTACGACCTTTTTAGGGGTTATGAAATATCGAGAAAATATGAAAGAACCAAATTGCCCGATGCACTCCATTACTGTACGTCCTTGGCTTATCCTCGATAAGGAAAACAACTTGAAAGTGTTCATATTTATAGTAGTTTGATTCGAATGAGTTCGTTCCCTCAAAACAGAGTATCAAAACTATTCAGTAGTAAGCTACAATCGACAAAATGGGGTGACTCGTTCTTAATTTGATCAATAAAAAATATGAATGCAATGATGAATCACAAGTAAAACCTCATCATATTTTGATCAATTTTAGTAGAATTTATTCGGCAAAATTTTGAGATAAGTCATCAATTTTTTTGGGGGAATAAACAGACTTATTTTGATTAACAATTTACCATGCTTACAATGAGTTTAAAATGTCTTCAAGATTTCAAAATATTCAGTTTCGCAATTCTTGATTTAAAAAATAAAATAAATCGACTCAGTCATTAATTTTGTTTAATATACCTTGTATAAGCAAATCTAAAAAATATTAACGCAGTAATAATTCGCAAGACTCATCATACTTTGCACATTTAAGACAGGATTTATTCAGCAAAATTTTGCGGTGATGTCAACATTATAAAAGAAACACAGCAGTTGCCATTTCGAAACGAGTTTTGAATTAAAACTGTTTGGTTCTGATTAAAAGGAAATAAAATTAAATCCATTAAGTCCTTTCCAAATGAAAGTTCTTTGTCACTACTATAGAATCTGGAACTTTTTAAAATTTACTTGTAAATGGTTTTTGGAGATAGATAAATGCAGAAGAAAATTTCGATGTTATTGTGGCGTTTTTTAATTTCGGCTCCAAAGCAATATTTTAAAGATTTTGAAATTTTAAAATCCATTACATTTTGTTTTTATTTTTGTCCACGGACAAACAGCAACCAATGGAACTAAACATCACTCTTAATTTTTAGCTCAGAAATACCGTCATTTCTTCAAAATATTTTTGAAAGTAGAACAACTTCCAAAATTTGTTTTCAGTTAAAAAAAGCAATTTTAATATCATAAAAGAATTTTAAATTTTCAGAAAAAAAAAATTATTCGTTTTTTTCCCTCAATTTCTCTATATGAATCTGTAATTTTAAAATAAATCCACAGATTAAACTTTTGACTTTGTTTTAAATCTTACGATTCTACTGCTTGTAAAAATAGAATTCAATTCCCATTTTACAATAAATAAAATAAATCAGTCATAATAAGTCAGAGTCTTATAAGCGAGCAGTAACCCCGCCCACCAATATTAAGAGTAGTCACTTCATTCCAGTGACTACTCTTAATATTTTCAATTTTATCTTGGCAAATGATAACCACCTGCCCTCTATTTTTTTTAAAGGGTGTTATTTGCCAAAATCAGTATTATCCTTAGAAGGTACTAGCCCCGCCCACCCGCCCCATTCTCATTTTAACGATTTTATTTCTGCTCATCAATCCACCTTTCATTCAAACCAGATACAATGAATCACTAAAGTGAGCGGAGTTAATTATATGTTCTTCTGTAAAGTGGTAAGAAACTAATAGAACCTAGGCTGTTAATGAGAAAAAAGAACGCTAATTGTATTTTTTTTTATTGTACTATTTGGTTTAAAAAATGCATTTCTTATTTTAGAAGAAAAAAAGAACGGGTGGGTGGGCGGGGCTTAGTGTAACTTTTTCTTACAGAGTCTTTTATAAGCAAGCAATAACCCCACCCATCCACCCCCTCTTCATTCTAGTGACTACTCGTAATACTATTAACTATTATCTTTAAATCCAAATATCGTAGACCTAATTATTAATTTTTCTTTCATTACGAAAATTTTGGTTTCCAAGAAAATTTAATATCTTGACTCAAGAACTCTCGGTTTTTTGTTTAAATAATTTGAAAGCTCAATTCAGATAAAAAAAAAACAATTTTAAGACCACCATAAAAGAATTTCTAATTTTCAATAAGAAAAAACAAGTTTTCAAGTTTGTTCTCAATTTCTCTATATGAATCTGTAATTTTAAAATAAATCCACAAATTTTTTTTGAGTTTGTTTTAAATTTGAGATTCTACCGCTTGTCAAACTAGAATTCAATTTCAATTTTACAATAAATAAAATAAGTCAGAAGAATTGAGAAAACAGGTGGGCAGGGCTAAGTTTAGTTTTTTCTTATAGAGTCTTATAAGCAAGCAGTAGCCTTACCCACCCACACTCTCTTCATTCCAGTGACAACTCTTAATATTGTTCAGACTTATCTTGGCAAATGATAACCCCGCCCACCCACCCTATGTTTTTTTTAAGAAATTGTTATCTGCCAAAATCAGTCTCATCTTAGCAGGTACTAGCGCCGCCCACCCACGCTGTTCTCATTTTAACGATTATATTTTTACTCAGCCGTAAAAGATCCACCTTTCATTCAGACCAGATAGAATGAATCACTAAAATGAAGATGGGGTAAGTGGACGGAGTTAATTATACGCTCTTCTGAAAAGTGGCAAGAAACTAATAGAACCTCGGCTGTTAAAAAGAGAAAAAACAAAGCTAAACGTATTTTTTATCATACTATTTGCTATAAAAAATGCATTTCTTATTTTAGAGGAAAAAAAAAAACGGGTGGGCGGGCGGGGCTAAGTATACATTTTTCTTACAGAGGCTTTTATAAGCAAGCAGTGGCCCCGCCCACCCACCCCCTTTTCATTTCAGTGGCTACTCTTAATATTGTTCAGTCTTATCTTGGCAAATGATACCCACCCGCCCTTTATTTTTAAAGGGTGTTATTTGCCAAACTCAGTCTCATTTTAGCAGGTACTAGCTCCGGCCACCCACGCTTTTCTCATTTTAACGATTTTATTTCTGTTCATCAGTATAAGATCCACCTTTCATTCAGACCAGATACAATGAATTACCAAAATGAAGGCGGAGTATGTGGGCGGAGTTAATTATCTGTTCTTCTGTAAAGTAGCAAGAAACTAATAGAACCTAGGCTGTTAAAGAGAAAAAAGAACGCTAATCGTATTTTTTTATTATACTATTTGGTTTAAAAAATGCATTTCTTATTTTAGAAGAAAAAAAACGGGTGGGCGGGCGGGGCTAAGTTTAACTTTTTCTTACAGAGTTTTTTATAAGCAAGCAATAACCCCGCCCATCCACCCCCTCTTCATTCTAGTTACTACTCGTAATACTATTAACTATTATCTTTAAATCCAAATATCGTAGACCTAATTATTAATTTTCCATTACGAAAATTTTGGTTTCCAAGAAAATTTAATATCTTGACTCAACAACTATCGAATTTTTTTCGAAATAATTTTGAAAGTTCAATTCAGATAAAAAAAAAACAATTTTAAGACCACCATAAAAGAATTTTTAATTTTCAATAAGAAAAAACAAGTTTTCATGTTTGTTCTCAATTTTTCTATATGAATCTGTAATTTTAAAATAAATTCACAAATTTTGTTTGAGTTTGTTTTCAATCTTAGATTCTAACGTTTGTCAAGTAGAATTCAATTTCAATTTTACAATAAATAAACTAAGTCGGAAGAATGGAGAAAACAGGTGAGCGGGCCTAAGTTTAGTTTTTTCTTATAGAGTCTTATAAGCAAGCAGTAGCTTCGCCCACCCACACTCTCTTCATTCCAGTGACAACTCTTAATATTGTTCAGTCTTATCATGACAAATGATAACCCCGTCCATCCGCCCTTCGATTTTTTAAGAAATTGTTATCTGCCAAAATCAGTCTCATTTTAGCAGGTACTAGCGCTGCCCACCCGCGCTATTCTCATTTTAACGATTATATTTTTGTTCAGCGATAAAAGATCCACCTTTCATTCAGACCAGATAGAATGAATTACTAAAATGAAGATAGGGTAAGTGGACGGAGTTAATTATACGTCCTTCTAAAAAGTGGCAAGAAACTAGTAGAACCTCGGGTGTTAGGTGTTTTATAAGCAAGCAGTAGCCCCGCCCACCCACCCCCACTTCATTTCAGTGACTACTCTAAATATTGTTCAATCTTATCTTGGCAAATAATACCCACCCGCCCTCAATTTTTTGAAAGGGTGTTATTTGCCAAAATCAGTATTATCTTAGCATGTACTAGCCCCACCCACCCGCCCTATTCTCATTTTAACGATTTTATTTCTGCTCATCAGTATAAGATCCACCTTTCATTCAGACCAGACACAATGAATCACCAAAATGAAGGCGGAGTAAGTGAGCGGAGTTAATTATATGTTCTTCTGTAAAGTGGCAAGAAACTAATAGAATTTAGACTGTTAAAAAGAGAAAAGAACGCTAAACATATTTTTTTTATCATATTATCTGCTAAAAAAATGCATTTCTTATTTCAGAGAAAAAAGAACGGGTGGGCGGGCGGGGCTAAATTTAACTTTTTCTTAAAGAGTCTTTTATAAGCAAACAGTAGTCCCGC